CAAACGAGGTATGACAGCATCCCAACTTATCCTTAGCTATGTGTTTGCCATTCCTTCTGATCTTTTATGTAATGCTATCTGGTTCCCCCAGGCTTAAGATCAGCGAATGAGGAATCTCATATTCTCTTTTAAAAGAATAGAAAAAACAAGTGTTTGAATTCTAATTAAACCATTGTTTCTTGATCAATAGACTATAGTTTATATACGTTTTCATGACATATTGTTATGCTTGCCCTGTGGATTTACATGTTTAAAGTTGCAGTGAAGGCTACCTTTGCACTTAAACGCCCAAATTTTCTGTTTGTTTGAGCAGTACATACTTAAGGTGGGTGAGGGTCCTCAAGCTCAGTGCATAAGTGGCTTCACTAATATCGATATCCCTCCTCCCCGGGGACCTCTCTGGTATAATCATATAATTGAACACTTGGTCTTTTTGCCTCAAAGCGCATGTCATTGTTTGTCATGCTTTATAGATGGTGAAACTTTTGTTTTGATTCTCACTTGCGGCACTGCAATGCAGGATCTTGGGAGATATCTTCATGGGTCGCTACCACACCGTATTTGATTCTGGAAGAATGAGAGTTGGATTTGCAGAGGCAGTGTAAAGAACCTCTTCCCTGGGACCTTGTCTAAATTAGTTGTTGCTTGCGCATCTTGTTTACTTGCTGTCTGTGTATCTCTATGTAATTTGAAACTCGAAAGTTGAGGTGTTGGCCCCAGCCTAAATGTAGCGCTTGTGAATATAAGATAAGTGTTTGTAATCTTCAGTGTTATCTTATAAGTTTGAGAGCAGAGAGTTGTTCATTAAAGAAAGGCATGAGCTGCTAAAGAGAGACAACTTGTCGATATTCTTCAAATTTAATCATGGCCAAAGAGTCGACAAGTACAGAAGAGATTAGCAAATGCAAGAGATTGCAAGATTATTTAAGAACCAAATCAGGACAGAATCTGAATGATAAGGGGGAAGCCTAGTGACATTATTTACTTCTTGTTCTCAAAGCCATGTATTGCGTATAAGAAACTTGTTCACTTGCATCTCCAGAACCAAAAGCCACACGAGAATGATGGTTTGATGGGGTGGAGTGGAGGGGCGTTCCAGGCAGGAGCCCCCAACCCATTGGGGCTTGTGATGAAGATGAGGTGGGAGTAATACCAAAAACTTATGTTACGAAAAATAGGGAAATGTTTCTCCATTGGAAAGCCTAATTTATTATCTAGTCATATCAAAATAAATAAATAAATAGCGAATAGCTTAAACACAAGTTTCGTTAACCTTTTGTTGCTTGCTAGCATGAAGCACAATGTGGGGTCTGAAAAGAAGTGCCGAAAGCTGACAATAAAAGGAGAGGAGGTAAAAGGAGGTAAAGGAAGGCAAAGAAAGGAATGGATAGGTGGCATGTGAAAAAAGAAAGGCAGCCAGCCGTTAAAATGATTGGGTTGCTTAGAAGGGAAGAAGAAGGAGGGACCTAAAATCACAAGGGTAAAGGCTGAGGCAAGGCAAGGCAAGGCATCAATCATCACTTCACACGCTCCTCATAAGTGCATGCACATTTCATATCATATTGCACAAGCAAAAGGCTTACGTCCAAAGCTTACAACCGCCGTGAACCGTCCAAATGAAAAAAAGAAAAAAGGTAACTGTGAGCTGAGCTCCAATACAAGGACTGCACTTGCAACTCACTTCGTACAATGACTCTTTTTTTGTAACGGACCAGACTGGTTGGTGGTGTTGGTGTTGGTGTTGGTGTTGGTGTTGGTGTTGGTGTGTGAGAGAGAATGTGAGTTGGGTTTGGTTTGGCGGCTTATACAAGTTTATCCCAACTGTCCACTCAAGTCTCTAATGCTATGCACACAAAGCCTTTGCCTTTTGGACTTGCTTGAGTTGGTTGCTCTGATCTCATTCAACCCCTTTCTTTATCTTATTCAGTTATTCTCTTTTCCTTCTATATCATTTTCTCATTGATAAGAAAATGAGTTTGGCAAACTTGCAAGTCGGGGAGCCTTTTCATACATGATACATTATTATTCCTTCCTTTAAGAAAGGAGAAAAAGGACTTTTAATGGGCACACATTCTCCATCAAACTTGGGATAAACAATAGTTGATCATTGCCTAGTGGCATTCTACTTGAGAGACTATTCAAACACCAAAGAGTCGTGAATTAAAGTCAACCTAATCTCCACACTTAAGCTAATAAGAATATCCCATGAAATGATCCAAATCCAATCCATTGTACTTGTGCATACACATACATGCATACATTCATGCGTGCATGCTCATTATCCATCAAGGAGTAAGGAGGACAACGGCAAGGAGACTTGCCTTGCCTTATTGATACGTCACCACTTGCACACCAAAACGCATAGAATTACTTTAATCATATTTAATCATATACCTCCTATCCTAAACCTAACCTAATCTAATCTTATCTAAGCTAAGCTAAGCTAAACTAACCGCCGGCCAAACTAGTAACATTGCAATTTGCACCCTCCTTTTGCCACGTGGAAGCCTCACATGACTTGTAGAGAGACGGCGGCCGCCCATTGGTCCAAAAGCCGAAAGGCTGGAGAAAGGTTTTAGCCCAACTTAAAAGCCAAACTCATACCAAAGCAAACCCCACACTCCTCTCGCCACACCCCCCTTCTTGTTCTCTGCCTCTCTCTCTCTGGCTTCTCTGCTTTCCCTGCCCTCTGCATATGCATATATAATTCAGCTCCTCCCACCAAACAAAAACAACACATACCATTTTACCTAACCTGTAAAATCTTCCCAATGGACTGGACCAGGGGACCAACCATTGGCCATGGCTCCTCTGCCACCGTCTCCATTGCCAAGTCTCATGGCTCCGGTGAGGTTTTCGCAGTCAAGTCAGCCAAGCTCTCACAGTCACACTCCCTTCAGATGGAGCAAACAATTCTGTCTACATTAAGCTCTGCCCAAATTGTATCATACAAAGGCTGCAACACCTCCACCGAGAACGGCACCGTCTTCTACAATCTCTTCCTCGAATACGCACCCGGAGGCACACTCTCTGACGCAATTCGAAGTCAAGGCGGGCGTCTAAACGAGGCGGCGATCAGATCCTACACGAGGCAAATTCTACTTGGGCTGCACCACCTTCACTCTAATCAAATTGCTCATTGCGACATTAAGGGTCAGAATGTTTTGGTCACAAATAATGGGGCGGACGTGAAGCTCGCTGACTTGGGTTGCGCCAAGCGCGTAAATTTTGATCATGGGTTGCCAATTGGGGGGACACCTGTGTACATGGCGCCGGAGGTGGCTCGCGGAGAGCAACAGGGACTCGCCGCCGATGTGTGGGCTCTGGGATGCACGGTGATCGAGATGGCCACCGGGCGGGCTACGTGGCCTTGTGTTTCCGACCCTGTATCGGCCATGTACAAAATCGGGTTTTCCGGTGAAGTGCCGGAGATACCAAGCTCTCTGTCGAAGAAAGGCAGGGACTTTGTCACCAAGTGTTTGATGAGGGACCCAATGGAGAGGTGGTCAGCTGGTGAGCTTCTCAAGCATGGATTTTTACTTGAGGCACCCAATTATTTGCCCAGTCCCACAACTGTGTTAGATCATGGTTTGTGGGAGGAGGAGTTTGATTTGGATTTGGAACACATTTGGGAACCGACCCATCAAAGTGGTTGCTCAAATTCAGCTAGGGAAAGGATCCGACTGTTGAGTGAAGGTAAAGCGGCGTCGTTTTTAGGAGTGACCAATTGGCCTTGTGATGATGAAGATACTTGGGTCACAGTGAGAAGCAACAATATTGAACATCCAGATACGACGCTCCATTGGAACGAATATGAAGCCAATGATATTTATGACGACAAGCCTCAGCCAACAAAAACAAATGCAAAACCTACTAGTGGTGGTGGGTTGGGTTTAGACACTAGTGAGGCAGCTAGCTTTAGCAGTAGACAGAGGAAGAAGAGCAGGGCTTGGATGACCTCCAAATGTAACCAATATGTCTTTTGTGGAAATCTGAATTTTGTAAACAAGGAATTAAGGTTGTTTATTGATCAGCTCCTTATAATTATATATTGTTTTCCTTCTCTTATTCTTTCACACAGCCTAGGCATGGCCCATCATACTTTCATTTCATAGTATTGTCTGTTTTGAAAAAGGGTTAGTTTTTTGGACACCCAAGATGTGTCTCTGGACACCCACCTGCCAAAAATTTAACCAAAATTTCCAAAATGGCAAAAAACTTTGTTTGGTTTGCTTTTGACATGCCCAATAGCCACATGTAAATTGTTGCGACTCTTGCAACTCTGGGTTTTACTGTGGATAGTATTACTACAGGCAAACCAAATACTACACGGACTACACTCTCTCCACCCATGGACACAAGAAGAATAAGTGATGCAAACAGTGTAGTGAATCTGTGAAACGCTTGCATATATAAGATCAAAGAAAATATAAAGACGAGATAAAATGTGGAAAACATATTCCCAAAGTGATATAAGAACTCAAACGTGAAAAGGAAAAAATAAAAGTCCTCACTTTACATGTATTTTAATTCATCCACGTGAGGCATTTGAATGCACCACAAGACCTTCACACCATAGGATGAGAGGGGAAATGCCACTAAGGCCTACTAGGCCATTGCTAAAATTGAGAAATCAATTAAAATGTAGACCAACATTTTACGACAAATATTGGATTAGAATGAAGATTTCTTCGGATTCTTTGGAAATTAATTTTAAAAACCAAATATTCCTTCTGCCTAAGAAATTGGTTTTGTTGATTAAAAAACCACGTTCATAATATTTTATTTATAAAAAAAGAAAGATAAACTAGATTAAACTAAAATGGACTGACAATTTATGCTTGTTGTCCATGAAATATTTTTACAAAACAGAAGTTAGGAGTAGGCGCATTATTAATATTAGTGTCTCAGCCTTCCAAATTGAAAAATAGAACTCCCTAATAACTGCCATAAAAAGTAAATAACTAAAAAACATCTTGAAAGGTCTGTAATCTCCCTAATTAATCTTGTTGACTACCTTGTGAGTCTGTGACAATCTCCCATTCTAATTGGCTTCTTAAGATCTTGGTCTCCTCAAGTAACTTATCATACTCAAGAATATCATCTTCTAAATCTTCCTTTAGATCAATAATATTAGCCTCTGTCTCTGTCTCGACTTCATATTCTAGTTGTTTAAGCTTGTTGTCATATGACTGCAACTGGCTCTTCAAGCTTTGGTTTTCCTCAACTACAACACATTGCTCAATGAGTGACTTTCCAAATAGTTTCCTTACATCATCAGTATTGGCTTCTGCAACACAAACCTCTCTCTCTTTGTTCTCAAGTTCAAATTCTAGTTGGTCCAACCTTATTCTCAATGATTGCAATTGCTTCTCTTTTTCTGCAAGAATACTACAGTGGTTGAGGGAAGCCTCTTTGGATCTTTTTTGTAAAACACTAACATAATTATTTTCAGCCAAAAACTCTTGGGTCCTTTCGTAAAGTTCATATTGTAGCTGTTGGTTTTCTTGCACTACAATATCTTTCTCAATATGCAACTCTTTCAATAAGTTACCTAGAGAAGTAATATTGGCTTCCGCAACATCAAACTCTTTGGTTTTCATCCTAAGTTCATTTTCTACTTGGCTGAGCGTTGCTTTCCAGAACTGCAATTCGCAAACATGATCAAACCCTGTCTTCTTCTCGATTTCAGATTCTAGCTGTTTGAACTTGTTGTCATATGACTGCAACTGGCTCTTCAAACTTCGGTTTTCCTTAAGTAACTCTCCATACAGGTTCCTTAGAGCATCATTTTTGGCTTTTGCAACATTAACCTCTTTCTCTTTGTTCTCAAGTTCAAATTTTAGTTGGTCCAGCCTTGTTCTCAATGATTGCAATTGCTTCTCTTTTTCAGGAAACAAACGATTGTGGTTGAGGAAAGCCTCTTCGGATCTTTTCTGTAGTGCACTAGCATAGTTATTTCCTGCCAAAACCTCTTGTGTCATTTCGTTAAGTTCATATTGTAGCTGTTGAAGTTTGATGTCTGATGATTTCAACTCATTCTTCAGACTTTGATTTTCCTGCACTACAATATCCTGCTCAATATGTAACTTGTTGAATAAGTTACTTAAAGAAGAATTATCAGCTTCTGCAACAACAAGCTCTTTGGTTTTGGTCCTAAGTTCGTATTCTACATGGTTCAGTTTTCTTCTCAAAAACTGCAATTGGTTTTCTTTTTCCTCAAGCAAACCATTGTCGTTCTCTTCGAATCTCTTGGGCAGTTTTGCCACAAACCTTATTTGTCTCTGAAATTTTCTGATATCCTGACATACTTCGTGCATCACAAAATCAAGAAATATGCATAATCCTGCAAGTGGATGAAAATATTTTAATTAACAAATCAGAAAGCATTATCAAATACAAACTCAAAAAAAAGAAAAAGAAAATAAAATCAGACATTGCCCTACAACACATGCAACAGTAGAGTTCAATTTTCCTGTTTCCCTTTTCACTGTGCCCTTATTCTTCTGACACCTGTCCTCTCTCTTAACATGAAACACAGCGCTGTTTAACTTTAAATAAAATGAAAAATTAAAAGACAGAATAAAATTAAAAGAAATTAAAAATAAAAAAAACAAAAACCCAACAGCGACCCAAGCAAAGATGCGACAGCCGACCCTACCCTCTCTCTCTCTCGGTGAAGATCTGAATCTGAAGGTTTTGAGAGAAAACAGATCTGGAACAAGAAGCATGCGCCTTTCGTCATCACACTCTCGACTCTCGACTCTCGACTCTCTCACTACTAAATCCCAAAACAAAAACCCCAAAACGTTGGGAGAACTGAGAACTATTTTTATTTTTATTTTTTTGGTATAAAAAACTTTAAATTTTCGTTTTCTCCGTAGTGATCTCGAGGTGCGATTGTTCTCAGGCTTTGTCTCGTTGATGATCGACCGAACAAAGAAACAAGTTTAAAGACATTAAAAAATCCAAAAGGAACAGAGAGAGCTATGGCAGTGGTTGATGATGCATTCGAAGTAGGAGAAGAGGTCGGGTTGAGTTCAGACTATCTTGATATGGTACAGAAATTCAAAGAGAGAGAAAGGGAGGCTTGGGGCAGTGACGAGTAGAGGGGGCTGCAGCTAAGGTGTGCTGTTTGCGGAGGGTTGCAGAGAAGACGAACGATTTATTTATTTTTTTATATAAAAGGGAAGATGAAGATGAACGAATTATTTGATAAAATTTTAATAAAATTGACATATTAAACAGAGTTAACCTTCTGTTAGTTAACAGGACACGTGTTAGAAAAATAGGAGGGATGTATAATACAAAATCAAAATAAATAAAAATACTTAAAATATATCATGCTAGTTTATACTAGGGATTCTAATATTTACACACAGCTAATTAGGGATTTTTAAAGGGAGGGATGTATAATACAAAATCAAAATATAAAAATATAAAAAAAATCAACAATTCAATGAACATGAAACTATTCACCAAAACCACAACATATAGTGATTGAGCAAAGAAAAAACACTTACCAATGAGAATTAAATCAATGAAGTAGTCAAAGAACTGGGAGTAGCTGACGACATGCGATAAAGGCTTCTGAATCATCCTAACATAGTGCAGAAAGCAGAACAACCTGAGCATGCTCTTAACAATAATGAGCCAAAACAATGGAACATGATTACTCCTCATAGCTAACATGTTCATATTTTCAGTGTTGATAATATCTCTAGAAAACTAGATTAGTTTTTGATGAATTGAAAGCTACAACGGATTATATATATGTATCAGAGTAGGCCTTATAGGCAATTTCCTTGATGTATTAGTAATTAAGGGTGAGTTAGGAATCCTATCAAAATAAGGAGACTAAAGGGAAAGGGAATGGGAAAGGGAAAAGGAAAGGGAAAGCTCCTTGAAGTGTTGCGCAGGAGTTCTGCAGCTGTTGCTCCTGTTGTGTTTTGTTTGGCTGTTGTGTTGGTTTGTCTCCTTTCCTTTTCAATAAAAGTGTGTTTCGACCAATAAAAAAAAGGGAAAGTTCTTATGTTAATTATAATTCCTATTGCTACTTGGTTGTGACAAGCTTTATCCCGTTTACCCGTCCTTTTCCTTCCATCAACAAGATTTGAAAAAAGTTGTAATAAATAGCTGTTAATTACTATCTTATCCTTAAATTGAAGATTTATTATTTGAATTTACTTAAGATTAATATAACAACATCAACATTTCATACCCTCGAGTTGACAATGAGAGTTCTATTATTTTAAACATATTTTTTTGGGTCCAAATATTTTAAACCTTTTTAGTAAAATTATAAGGTTTTCTTTACCACATTATATTTCAATATTAAAGAAGAAAATATAGTTTCTTAATTTGAGTAATTTTTCGGTGTGACGATTACACTATTATATGATATTACTACAACACTTGTTTCTATAACCTAAATCAATGATTTATCAACTCGCTCACACAAATTATAACACTTGAGTTACTTAAAATTTGTTATTTATTTCTCTCTCTCTGGTTCTAGTTTGTACGAAGTTTTATCAGAAATTAAATTGCTCTCTAGATCCATGTAGGGGAGGTTAGTTGTCTTTGTTTAGTTTCTCTGGGCCATCTCTTGTTATGTTTTAGGCCCTCTTCGTTTTGTGCCTTTGTTGAATTAAGTTTAACCAACACAAAAGAAAAAAGAAATAACAAAACAATAGTTTTCCTTTTCTTTTCTCAAGATATATATGCATTTTTTTTTGCTCTTCCTTTTCCTTTTCTTTTTCTCAAGATATATACGTCCTTATATCCAATACTATGGTTACTTGCCATTATTTTTGACAATTTATATTGGTAACATTTATGGATAGTTTTTAGTTTTTTTTTTTTGGACAATGCGATATTCTAAACTACTCTAATGTTCAAGAAGGAAGTTTGAACTTGAGTGAGTGTAAAGAAGTGGACATGCTGCCATAGCCAATTGGCCAAACTCATGTTTGCCCAACACAAGTCATTCAAAATCATTAATCATCAAACACCATGTATGTGCTCGTAATTTGTGTCCAAATAGTTGCTAACTAGAAAATATACCTTTTTTTAATTAAAAAAACGTCTGCATATAAAAAATCAGGTAAGAATTCTCTATCATTAAGTTATTACGTTCAAAATGTATCACAACTTTTCAAGACAAAATTGAATAATGGATCCATTCTACTTCAACACTCAACTTCTAGTTACATTTATCACACAAAGTAGTAAGCCTACCTCTTCTCTCTTTTTCTTTTGTTCTTCTCTTTTCTATTCCATTTTCTCCGCAATTAGCATTTATGACAATGTAAATGTAATCAAATAAACCCATCTTATAGCACTCCAAAACAACCACTATGAAAAATAAATAACAAACAAAAAATCTCAAAAGGCGGGCAAAATCGCTTATGAATCTTTCTTACTACCTGAACGTGACATTTTCCGGTCCAACGACTTTAACTGGTTCTTTAAGTTTTGATTTTCCTCAAGTAATCGATCATATTCAAGAAGAAACCCTTCCGATTGTTTTCTTAGAGCAAGAACATTGGATTCTGCAGTATGAACGTCTTTTGTCTTTGTCTCAATTTCAGATTCTAGCTGTTTGAGTCTTGTGCGCAATGTAGCTATCTCATTCTCCAAGGCTTTGATCTCATCCAAACTGCTAGCTTTGCCATCCTCAGATCCTCTGTTCTGTTTCTTAATGGCTTCCATGCTCTTTCTTCGTATACGAAGTTCTCTAATATAGTGGTGTAGTCTGTCTATCATAAGAGCAAGAAATAGGAAGCATCCTGCAAGTGGGCAACACAAATGGGTTACTGCCTAACAAGATAATCAGTGAGCAAGAGTAAATCATGAAACATGAAACTCTGCTCTGAAATGAACAGCTAGTGAACAACAATGGTAACAATATGACCACAATGCAATCCACAAAACATTAGTTACCTCTTAAAACTACAAGACAAAGCACATATTTTCTGTTTTTTCCCTTCATGGTTGCAGTTAATATCTAACCATACTACTATTGACATAATGAAAACTGAAAAATGCATTAAACAAAGATAGAAAATGCAAGACTCTTGCTGCAAATAATATACTTCTATGCTAACACAACCTACACAAAAAATAACGGAGCTGATGCTATGATATTGATGTCTACAATATCAATGCTCTTTCCAGATAGAATGACTTATATTACCTTTCAAACCCTTCTCTTTTCTTTAACAAAAAACTTTAATTAAGAAAAAAAGAGTTTGATTTCTTGCTCTAAGGGGATGTATCAAGGTACCTAGGCTCATTACGGGCATTACTCATAATTGGCACAGAAATGAACGTGATGTAAAATTCACCAGTAGCTCTGATCATTACATCTCATCTCCAGCCAAACAAAATGGTGCCATGGTTTATCTAACTCTATATCAACAACTGTAATAGAGCATTCAAACAAATTGAAGTTTTTCTATCCAATCATGTGGTGAGTAAATAATGAGGAATATGAAATTCTCTATCTGCACATATGTTTTGGACAGCCCGTGAATTTGAAACCACTTAATTTACACTCAGGCCACCAACACTTCAATGCTTGGAATCAGATTTATAAGGGAGTAAAACAGGCAAAAGAAAATGGCTTTTCAGAAACAACTTAACAAGATCCAGAAAACATAGCTAATTTCACTTACCAGTTAGTGTCATTAACGAAACAGTGATTTAAATATATGAAGGCACATAGCTACAATCTTGGTCAGCCATCTCATTCCCCCATTCCATCAAAGCAAGCACATTTCAATCAAAAATCATAAAGGAAAAACGACAATCAAACAAATGTACATTCAAGAAATCCACACTCAAATTAATATCAGAGAATGCCACAAAACAAAAAGTAAGACTTACCCAGATACCATAAAGTTGAAGTAATTGAACCCAAAAAAAGAGAAAAAAAATTGAAAAATTACCCATGAGAGTGGCTTCAAGCAGGTGCTTGACCATGAGGACCTGATCGGTGGGACTAACAATAGCAGCTTTGTCGATCCGACTATTCTTGATCTTAATTATGCTGTAAACGCTAGTCATCAACGCCACAAGCACCGTTCCCGCCACGGTCTTGACCACAATGGGTCCACGGCCGCGCTTGATCTGATCCAGACCCAATATTACCAGCTTCCTAAATGGAGTCCTAAACAAAAACGCCAGTATCAGAGCCATCTCTGACAAAATCACTATGAACATTAGCTGAATCATCTTCCCAGACTTGTAGTTTTAGTGGGTAACAGAGCATGCCAGTATAAGTGTGAAAGTTGAAAGCTTTAGGAAGCGTATGTCGGTTTAGTTGTTATTGAAGAAGGATGGAGGGTATGAAATGAAATGAAAGAGGGCAAATAAATCCTTCTTCAACTATATTGGTGGTCAAAAAGTAATTCTTACCATAAATAAGGATAGAATAGTAAGATCATATACTAATACTAATATCTTTACGTAAATTAATTCCCTAGCTGAGAGACATCATGAAGGTCACGTTAGGTTAACCATAGATACAGATCCAAATCTCTCATGTTCATATTGCTTTACTGTACCATTTTTTACTGATTGGTTGGTTGGTGTCGATAACCCAGATCCATCATCAATGGCAGTTGGCGAGCAAAAAGCATAAAGCCTTTTGGCCTTTCGTTGGCCTTTACTTAACAAGCAAGCAGTTTATATAAGGGAATTGATTGATGGTGACAGATTTATATATCACTTGCCACTTGTGGCAAAGTGGCAAATTGGCAAATATATGTGGGTGGTGAAGGCAAAGACTTCCAAATTATGAGCTGATATTGCATTGCACGCCTGTCCATCTTTTAATCTAACGAAGTTGTGCAATGCATAAGAGAGAACTTTAATAACCAAGTAATGGAATTTTGAAATGTAGCATTCGAATTTCATAGTGGGCTGGATTGGGCCTACAATCATGGGTTCTTAGCCTTTGATCAAATGCCATATGGGCTAGCTCAGTTTGTTCGTGCAAGGCGATCCTACACAAGAGGAGAGAGACAAACATATAGGTGTAGCTCCGCCCTACACCTTGCAAACCAACAAGGGTGTGGGGAACAAGAATCGAGCTCAAGCCCACTTACATAGAAGGCTCTGATTTCATGTTAGACAATCATTAATCTCAAAAAACTTAAGCTATCAGATAATGGACCAACAATGTATATCAAGCTGACACCACCTGATTTATTTGATTGTTAATCGAGTGAGACATGGTGATGATGTTTATGAACAAAGTTAAATGTTACATAATGTACAAATTACATCACACAACTAACCAAATTAGAAAGTGAAACCAACGTATATAACACTAGAATAGCTTGCTTGCAAACTTTTCAGAGAAAACAGCAAGATCCTTGAGTTCTGATAGGCTCCTTCCCAGCTGCAAAGCCACCTTCATTTCAAACACCTGCCCATTCTCTCTTCTCTCAACTTGTTTCTCTTTCACATTTGATTCTATAGTCTCTTGCATGAGCCTAAAGAAACCAGCATTGCTTCTATACATTTCAACCACCATTCCAACTTGGCCACCATGCTCTAATGTGTTCACCACACTTGCTAAAGCTCCACAAATAACTCCTGCCATCACACCCCACACCCCGTAAGTACCACTAGAACCCACAAAAGCAGACCCCAATGCTGCAAGGCCAGTTAATGTAGGGCCAGAGATGGCCATAACTCTGTTGATTTTTAAGGCCTTCTCAGTCAACTTCAAGTATTCTGGCACATCCTTGCTCTTCAAAACCCCAACTACCTCTATCATTTCCTCTTCCAATTTTTTACTCCAACCATTTCCATCTATTAATTTTCCTTCAGCCCCTTGAGCTCTTCTGTGATTTTGTTTTGGCCACCAGATTGTTGGTTCCACAGTTTCGGGGAATTTATCCAGCATTTCACCTAACAAAGGAAGTGGGTAGGCTCTGTCCAATGCCAAGACTTTCTCCATTGCTTCATTCACATCCACCATAGTATTTTCACTGTGAAGTGATAGTTTTGTTTGAATCTGGGCATGAAGCTGCTTGAACAATCTAGCTGCGTATCTCTGTTCTTCAGCAAGTTGGGATGGTTGGATTTTGTTCATCACCACCAACATTCCAGTTGCTGCTACATAAAGTATAGTGGAAGAGAGCTTGAGAGCCATGAACGGCGCTCGTGCTCCGGTTGTAACAGCAAAAGTGGCGGCGGCAATTCCTGCCATGGTTGCAGCAGCGAGAGTAATTGCATTGATGGACATCAGAAGGAGGTGGTTCCAATTGTCACGCTGTGCTCCAATATTCTTATGCATCTCCACTCTGTCTGCAATAGCCTCCATGATAGCATACAGCTTAGAAGTAACCATTGGATCATCAGAATGATTTGCACTGTTATTAGTTGGGACTTTGTAACCATTACTTGTGATGTCCAAGTTGTCAACCAAACTTCTGGATGGGAGCTTGGGAAGAGAAATTGGACTCACCTGGAATTTTGGTGCATTATTGGTGGTGGCTTTAATTGCTCCTCCTTTAGGAAAACGCATTTGATCAGGCGAACCCATCAAACAAAAGATGCTTGAAACTTGAAAGGTTGCCATATTTTCTTTTTGGCTCGATCAAACAGTCAAACTTAGGAGGTGGTTGTTGATAGTTTGAATATTATGCTCAACCTCTCATGGTTTATTAGATCACTTCTCATCTATTGTTTTTGGTCAACCACTTCTCCTCTTTGGGGTTTGAGCTTTGACACAATATTCAGTTTGGAGGGCTGGGCACCGATATTAATAATGTGCCTACTCCTAACTTTTGTTAAAAATATTTCATGGACAACAAGAATAAATTGTCAGTCCATTTTAGTTTAATCTAGTTTATCTTTTTTTTTTTTTTTTAATAAATAAAATATTATGAACATGGTTTTTTAATAAACAAAACCAATTTCTTAGGCAGAAGGAATATTTGTTTTTTTAAATTAATTTTCAAAGAATCCAAAGAAATCTTCATTCCAATCCAATATTTGTCGTAAACTGTTGGTCTACATTTTAATTGATTTCTCAATTTTGGCAATGGCCTAGTAGGCCTTAGTGGCATTTCCCCTCTCATCCTATGGTGGGAAGGTCTTGTGGTTCATTCAAATGCCTCACGTGGATGAATTAAAATACATGTAAAGTGATGTACGGGTGCTTAATGTGCTCTCTATTGGTGCAAAGATGATGTGTTTTTCATCATCATAGTGGTGGCTGCTTCTTTATTTGCAATTGGCAATTCCACAGCATTTCTAAATCAGTCAAACTTACATAACCAGTTGATGAATTATATTTCAGAATCCTTCTTAGCGTTTAATCTTTGAACATCCTACTTTACTTTAATCTGTTATGGTAATCTTTCAAAGCCTTGCATTACAAGCATCGACTTGGGGATGCACACAATGTGTAATTAGCAAGTCATCCCAAAGTTCATTTTAGACACATCTCATACTCGTTTTGCAAAGAAAACAATGGTGCAAAGAGGGAACAGAATCTGATTACGTATTTGGGGTCACGGTCAGTGTAATATTCAGCCCTCAATTCAAGGAGAGATGGCACAAGGTGGATAGATTATTCAAAGTTGCCATTCTAAATGAGTCGCTGTCCTTCATGGCTTATTTGCAACATAAGCAAAAGCTTTGTGGTTTATTATATGATATGACCCCTGCTTTGTGCTTTCAGGCTTTGAGCTGTCGCAATCACATGCAAATTGCAATGCAGGTGTGATCTCCAACGCCGACAGGGTAAGCAATTTACAGCTTAGATTTCGAAGCGTTGCAGTTCATTGCAACAATATATAATGCAATGCAGCATGTCAATTCATACTTGCTTACCAAAAAATAATAAGCACAGATAACACATTTAGTCATTTCGAATACTGTTCACAAGATCCAGAGCCAGTTGCAGTCATATGACAACAAACTTAAACAACTAGAATATGAAGTCGAGACAGAGATAGAGGCTAATATTATTGATCTAAAAGAAGATTTAGAAGATGATATTCTTGAGTATGATCAGTTACTTGAGGAGACCAAGATCTTAAGAAGCCAATTAGAATGGGAGATTGTCACAGACTCACGAGGTAGCCAACAAGATTAATTAAGGGGATTGCAAACCTTTCAAGATGTTTTTTAGTTATTTACTTTCCATGGCAGTTGTTAGGGAGTTATATTTTTCAGTTTGGAAGGCTAAGGCACCGATATTAATAATGCGCCTACTCCTAACTATTGTTTTATAAAAATATTTCATGGACAACAAGAATAAATTGTCAGTCCATTTTAGTTTAATCTAGTTTATATATATTTTTTAAAATAAAATATTATGAACGTGGTTTTTTAATAAACAAAACCAATTTCTTAGGCAGAAGGAATATTTGGTTTTTAAAATTAATTTCCAAAGAATCCGAAGAAATCTTCATTCTAATCCAATATTTATCGTAAATTGTTGGTCTACATTTTAATTGATTTCTCAATTTTAGCAATGGCCTAGTAGGCTTTAGTGGCATTTCCCCTCACATCCTATGGTGTGAAGGTCTTGTGGTTCATTCAAATGCCTCACGTGGATGAATTAAAATACATGTAAGGTGATGTACGGGTGCTTAATGTGCTCTCTATTGGTGCAAAATTGATGTGTTTTTCATCATCATAGTGGTGGTTTCTTCTTTATTTTCAATTGGCAATTCCACACTATCTCTAAATCAATCAAACTTACATAACCAATTGTTGAATTATATTTCAGAATCCTTCTTAGCGTTTAATCTTTGAACATCCTACTTTACTATAATTTGTTATGGTAATCTTTTAAAGCCTTACATTACAAGCATCGACTTGGGGATGCACACAATGCGTAATTAGCAAGTCATCCCAACGTTCATTTTAGACACATCTCATACTCGTTTTGCAAAGGAAACAACGGTGCAAAGCGGGAACAGAGCGGGAACAGAACATGATTATGTATTCGGGGTCACGGTCAGTGTAATATTCAGCCCTCAAATCAAGGAGAGATGGCACAAGGTGGATAGATTATTCAAAGTTGCCATTCTATTAGAGAATGAGTCGCTGTCCTTCATGGCTTATTTGCAACATAAGCAAAAGCTTTGTGGTTTATTATATGATATGACCCCTGCTTTGTGCTTTGAGGCTTTGAGGCTTTGAGCTGTCGCAATCACATGCAAATTGCACAGGGTAAGCAATTTACAGCTTAGATTTGGAAGCGTTGCAGTTCATTGCAACAATATATAATGCAATGTAGCATGTCAATTCATACTTGCTTACCAAAAAATAATAAGCACAGATCACACATTTAGTCATTTCGAATACCGTTCACAA